TCTTGTCAGAGTCTTGGGTACAAAGGGACCATGGTAAACATATCAATGACATTGCAATTCAACAAGATCACAATATTGCTGCCCTTGAATTAACTCATAAAGTACCCAAGGGGGTCAAGTCATCTGAGACAAAAAAAAATGCATTAGTTTTTTATTGATCCGAGTTGACCACAGTATTTTTATGCCTAAAAACTTAGTTTCCAGACTTCAGTGTCTTCCTAGGCATACACTATTTTCAAGTCAATAAATAAGTTAAAATTGCTGATGCACAGTAATCTTAGGAAAACTGAAAAGGCAAAATGAGTAGCTAGAATTCTCTTTGATGACCAGACATATATAATGCTGAGACCTAATGAGGCTGAAAAACACCTGATGGGCTGAGTGTGCTAGCTGGTCTTAGTGAGGGGCTGTTATCTGTCCTAAGGAATCAAACTCTACAGTTTGAGAAAATGTGTTCAACCCACATACTTCCCTTCTTATATCTTACTCTGGAGGTAGAACATTTATTCCTGCAAAAAGTGCCTGATGTGGTCTCTTAGGGATTAGAGACACCTGCTTAGTATGTCTACCTCAGCACAGTCTGCCACCTCTCTGAGGACTTCCTTAGTAAGCCTTCAGTAGATGCTGCTGCTTCATTTTCTTCAGGTATATAACTGAAAAGGCAATCTTTACCTGCTATGAAGTCCAAAGAAAACAGGATTTGCCTCCTTGGACTCATTTGCCTTTTAGTGACCATCAGATGTTACTCAATCACATTTGGCAAAGAACTTCACATCATAGAACCATCTTGGGAAAAGCAGAATATAACACTGGAAATCACTGAAAGAAGGTAAATGCTATACTACAAAGCTTAGCCAGGTGGGATATAATCATTTTATTGAGGATATGGCATGGGTAAAACTTTTTTCTTTTTCTTTTGTGGTACTTGGGATTGAACCCAGGGGCCCAAGGGTGCTCTTTTCCAGAGCTACACCCCAATCCTTTTTATTTACAGATAAGGTCTCACTAAGTTGCCCAGTTTGGCCTAAAATTTGTGATCCTGCACCCTCATCCCTCCCAATTTCCACAGCTGGGATTATAGGCAAGTGCCACTGAGTCCTGCTTTAATTTTTTTTTTTTTTAGTGCTGGGGATTCAACCCAGAGCCTTGAGCATGCTAGGCAAGTGCTCTACCACTGAGCCACATCCCCCAATTTTTTCTTTTATGTAATAAACACATTTGTCTGTAATTTAAGTTAAACTAGTTTTTAAAAATCCCAGAAAGTTAAGAGTATGGAATCCAATTCAGCATGTTAAAAACATTTGGTATTTAGCTGGGCATAGTGGCACACAGCTGTAATCCCAGCAACTACGGAGGTTAAGGCAGGTAGATCAAGTTCAAAGCTAGCCTCAGCAACTTAAAAAGGCCATAAGAACCTGTTTCAAAATAAAACACAAAGCTGGGCACGATGGTGCACGACTATAACTCCAGTGAATTGAGTGCCTGAGGCAGGAGGATCACGATTCAAAGCAAGCCTCAGCAACAGCAAGGCTCTAAGCAACTCAGTGAGACCCTGTCTCTAATAAAATACAAAATAGGGCTAGGGATGTGGCTCAGTGCCTCTGAGTTCAATCTCCTGTACCAATAAGTAAATAAATAAATAAGGCTGAGGATGTAGCTCAGTAATTACGTGCCCCTAGGTCCCATCGCTAATACAAACAAAAAAATCAAAACCACACATTTGAGTGTTTAGATATTATCACAGGACCAAACATTCCAGGTCCAAACCACTTGGAATTCTAGGTTCTAAATACTTTAAATTGAAGTAAAAAATGAAGCCAAGTTTTTTTCTTTATAGGAAAATAAATGAGGTCAGGATATGAGATTGGTGAATATGTACTGAGAGGACCCAGGATTGTGACTGGATTCCAGGTAGCATTTTTAGTCCCATCTCATTTTTAGGAGAAATAAATAAAAGAATCCTATTGTGAACCGGCACGGTGGTGCCTGTAATCCCAGCAGCTAGGGAGGCTGAGATAGGAGGATAACAGAGTTCAAAGCCAGCCTCAGCAAGGGCGAGGCCCTAAGTGACTCAGTGAGACCCTGTCTCTAAATAAAATACAAAATAGGGCTGGGGATGTGGCTCAGTGGTCCAGTGGCCCTGAGTTAAATCCCCCTCACCACCACCCCCTACCCCCCCCCCGCCAAAAAAAAAAAAAAAAGAATCCTATTGTGTTTCAAGTGGAGATATTAAATACCACAAACCTAACTGTTGATGTTTTTTCCTTTTTAAAATGTATCTCCTAAAGACAGGTTCTGTAGGAGCCCCCCAATAGTCAAGACCTAATACTTTAGTTAACACCTTCATAGTTCAAAGTCCAAAAAGTGGGATGGGTTGGAGTAGGAATTTGGTAGTTAGATTGACTAAAAAATACCATGAAGACAGGCAAGTGGCACATGCCTGTAACTCTGGAGTGACTCTGGAGGCTGAGGCAAGAGGATTGCAAGTTCAAGGCCAGGCTCAGCAATTTAGCAAGGCCCTCAGCAACTTTTGAAACCTGTCTTAAAATAAATAATAAAAAAATAATAATAAAAATGGCTGGGACTGGGTGCTGTGGCCCATGCCTGTAATCCCAGCAGCTCAGGAGGTTAAGACAGGAGGATCATGAGTTCAAAGTCAGCCTCAGCAATTTAGTGAGGCCCTACACAACTCATGGAGACCCTATCTCTGAATAAAATATAAAAAGGGCTGGGGAACGTGGCTCAGTGGTTAAGCACCCCTCGGTTCAAACCCCATTACCAAGAAACAAAACACGGAAATGGTCAATACATTTTGGAAAACTGCTTAATAGGTAAGTTCACTGGGGATAGTACACACTCCAGGAACAATATTTACTACACACCATCCACAGCTACTAAACTCAATATTAACTAAAAGACCAAAGAACTGAATTTCTTTAACATCTTATAAATATAAGAGTACCATATGCATTAGCAAACAATTCACGTGTATTTCTAAAGTATCATATTCTGTGTGATTCTTGCTAATCTGTTTGAACTAGGGAAAAAAAATGTATTGAGACAGTTGGACCTATCAACCACTAAAATGGAACCCCAAACATCTAAGCATTCGTAGCTTTTTTTTTAATATTTATTTTTTAGTTGTAGTTGGACATGATACCTTTATTTTACTATTCTTATGTGGTGCTGAGGATCAAACCCAGGGCCTCTCATGTGCTAGGCAAGCACTCAACCACTGAGCCACAACCCCAGCCCCATAGCTTAATTCTAAACCATTTGTGACTCTGACCAGAAAACTGAAAAGGGTTGACATAAATGATTAATGAAGGTATTTGACTATCTTAAAAGAACATTATGAAGGCCAGGCACAGTGGTGCATGCCTGTAATCACAGCAACTCAGGAGATTTAAGGCAGGATTCCAAGTTCAAAGCCAGCCTCAAGAATTTAGGCCCTAAGCAACTCAAGATAATATCTAAATGATATATAGAAAAGGGTTGGGGATGTGGGTCAGCGGAAAAACACCCCCTAGGTTCAATTCCTGGTACCAAAAACAAAACAAAAAATTACTAAGAATCTTTAAACACTTTAGCTCCTTAAGTATTGTTTTTGTCATTACCTCAGCCTGATTTCTTTTGAAGGTTACAGTTTACCTGTGGATGTGAACCCCATTCCTTTGCCAGTCCCATTCCTTGAGTGGCCTAGGAGAGATCCCACATTTCTTGGCCCACCTCCCCTTCACCTGTCTGATATTTGGGAAGAGTAGAGGAACACTGTCTCACACATTATCACCTTATTCAGAAGCCACTCAGTCCCCTTCTCTCTAGAGTGAGCACAATGTACAGGGTTATTCCCTTGCACCAGTAGGTGTTTTACAATCTGGGTGGGACTGGGTGTAGCTCAGTGGTGGAGCACTTGCTTAGCCATGTGTGAGACCCTTGGTTCAATTCCCAGCACCCTAAAAAATGATTTTTAAAAATATGGGTGGGAGATGACATGCTTTATATTCGGAATTTAAATTTTTTCAAGGGAAGCTTTTCAATCCCAACAGTGTTTTTAAGTATTGTTTTTATGTTCCACAGAATTCTCATTGTATGGAAATAAATGAGGATCAACGAAGGAAAACAGGTTAATAAAACCTTGCTATTGCAAGGGAGTCAGATGCCACCACTTGGTTTGGTAGATAGACTCAGGCCGACCAAGGAACTGGAAAGCTTAACAGTGAAAGGGGGGGGAAAAAAAAAAAAAGGAAGGCTTTAGATCAGCTCCGATTGGAGGTTGTTGGCACCAGGAAGTTGGAGGAGGGCTAGAGAGGTAATGCATCTTTTGTAATTGGTTTAGAGAGCATATTTGGCTTCCTCTGATTGGTCCTGAGTTGGAAGCCGCGGTTAGAAACATACGGAAGGTGCCAAACACAAAGTCCTGACCATCCTGGGCTACAGGGGTACTAGGTCGGAGTTCTATTATCACATACGGTTTGGCCTCGGTCCTTTAGTACATTCAGTCTCTCAGCTGAGTGAGACCCAGGGTCTTACTTTCCCTTGACCTAGTTAGCTTTTAAACAGTCCAGGATCTGAGATGATGGGAATGAATGCTCCAATTCCTTTATAAATATCTTTACGGTGAGGCTCAGGCAGGAAAACCACCACCACCAGCCTTCTGGTTCCGCATTTGCTTGCAGAACTCCTATTTCGCCCGTAACAGACTTTTCATAAGTATTCCTCCCCTAGTGGAGAATCAGCCCGTTTCTCCATACCCGCTCACGGGGGGCAAGAGCGAAGGGTCGCGCCCTCGCCCCTCCCCGGCGTGCCTTCTCCGCTCCACACTCCCCATCAGGGGCAAACTGGGCACAGCCCCAGCCCCCACGTCTCCCCCAGATGCGCCCTCAGGACCCAGTCCCTCTCCAGGGCACCCTCTCCGCCCCCAGCCCACAGCGGCCCCCGCACGCCCTCGCGTCCTGGCCTGCCCCCTGTCCCGGCCAGGCCCCCTTCCGGCCCCGCGGCAGGCGCGCGCCAGCGCCTCCAGGCCATTAGTTCCGCGCGTTCCTGGATGGAGGCGCGCCCCAAGGGGCTCGGACGCGGCCCCAGCACCGCAGCTGCCTCCCCGGCCCGCAGGAGCTGTCAGGTCAGCATCCCGTCCCCGAGCCCGATCAGACTGTTCTCAGAACGTGCCCTTGGTCAAGATTAAGCAGGTCCTCCTCATAGCACCTGAAGTTCCCTTTAGGGCGAAGTCAGGGCAACTCTTCCCAGCCACCATTCCCCAACCACTTCTCAGCTGTGGAAAAAGCAGCCTTCTGTCCATTCCGGAAGGAGCCAGGGTTTCCCCTCGAGCTTCTCTCTCGTCGGCGCCAGAGAACGGCCCCCCGTTTTCTCCTCAGCGAGCGTCCCCGGCAGGGTTGTCCCCGCCGCCAAGCTGGCAGGCCGTGACGCCGC